GAAGGTCTTAAGTGATATGGATACAAAAGCAAAATGAAGAACAGTAATACTATTTCCAAGCTGACTGCTGTAAACTGGCAGACCAGGAGCAACATTTTCCCCTTCAAAAATAGCATACTTACGGCATAAGTCATCATCATTAGGTTGTGTAGTTGGGGTAACAACATCCATCATTTTAACCATTAGCTCACCATTAGCAGTCACAGCAAAAGTATCAGGACCACATTTCCCTCTAAATTGTGGTACATCGTAAAAATCAAAGTTCAAAGGTCGACGATATCTAGTATGATAAACAAAATAAGCAGGCTGGGACATATGAGGAACTGAGTAATCTTCGAAATAAGTGAAATCACTCACAAGAACAAATATACGAGGTAAGAAATGATTCCGCTCCCAATTCTGATTGAATTGCTCCCAACTTGCTGTACCATAATTCGTAATGATGACCAGCTTCTTTAAATGTGATAAACAGGAAAATTGCATCTCAACTAGTTCATAACACTGTGTGCTGTATATTGAGAGTGTCAAGTACTGCAAGTGAGGGAGAGGGGCCTGTGCCAAGGTAGGGGAAACGAGAATCTTCTTTAATGCACCCATATTAATCTCAAACCCGTAAAAATTCAACGTATGAATGTTTTTACAGTTGAAAACTATTGATTGGTATTGACTAAACGGTAGCTCTCCTTCTAAACTGAGTGACTGTACATGTGGTCGACATGTTTTTAAAGTCGATTTAACGAATGGACCGTTTGCTTTACCATATACATCATCAATGACAACTCTTCTCCACAAATTAGGATCAGAACACATTGTATAAAGTTGTCTATTGACTAATCTAAGGGACATCTTATCTCTGATTGACAGGAACCTGAATATCTCTTGTACCAGCTCAATTGGTAGAGAAGCAAGATTGACCTCCTTTACTGGACCACTATCGACTGGTGAGAGCTCGTTTGTGGGAATTGGTGGAGAGAGATAGCGTTCTGCTTCTTCACAATGATCATCATATAGCTCGTGAACGAAATCAGGATCAAGTTTGAGACGTTTGGAGGAGCGAGATCTACCAGTATCAGCCATAGCTTTCCTTTTAGCCACGTGCAACCATGTGTGGTGGTGTCAGTAAAAGTCCGGAAATCAACCAAGATTTTAAGGCAAAGCATGCATCATGATAAATGAACAGATCTAAAATTGATAATACAAACAATTATGAACTGTAATTAAGTGTTCTTTTAGCTGCATTATGTACATCTCTTGGTAGTCTCCCTACACAAAGACAATCACATGACAATCACATGATATGCTACTAGTATATACTCACATAATTTATGCTTTCCTTTGATCGGTTGTTTAATCAACAGCTCTTGAGGCGAGTGACATATAAACACAAACTGAGACTCACTCTCACCGTTTGGATACTAATTTAATAATAATAATAAATAATAAGATAAGATAAAGCATAAGGCAAATTTAATTTTAGAAGTACAATAATTATTAGAGAAAAAAGAGAAAATTAAATCAATACTAAATACAGAGAAACAGTATAGTATAAATCGTGTATGTCATTATTTGTGTGTGAATCTATATGAACCTTATCAGTGTATTCATCTCTATTCAAGCAGTCACTAACTTCAACACATCCTAATA